TCAAGTATTGGTGACAAAGAAACCGGTCAGACGTCTTTGATGGCAAGACAACAACGGGCTTTCCTCTAGCCCCACCTACCTCGGCAAAATCACAAACATGCAAATATTTGATCGGCATGAAGCCACTCTATCATTGGTCGAACCGCAAATTGTCAAGTTACCATTGGTTGAAGTTGAACTGATAATTGCTATTGACAACTTGAGGAGATGTCTGATGTGCCGTGCCTTTAGAACTGGTCATTTCCTCGGAGGCTACTGAAGATGGAGGGCCGTCTGACTCTCTTTGCGCTTCTTATCGTCTTGGGTAAGTAGTTTTTCATTTTTTGTGAGATAAAAGAAAATATCTACTTAATACATGTAGTAAAGAAATAATTCACTCTCGACTAACGGTTGTATGGTTTTAAAAAAGGAAAAATGAGGGAGGCCGCTTTGACTAGGTAAATGCGTACCAGAATTGAGTCAAAACGCACGAAAGTATTGGTTCATAATAAGATGAAATACTGCAAGCTATTAGTCTATTAAGACAATTGTGTGTTACAATTTTTTTAAATATTTGAACATTTATTACAAGATATGGCGACGGGCACACTCAATTTTTTCAAACTTTATTTTTATGCTAAATTAAACACACGCATGAACAGACAACATGACATGTTATTTTTTTTTACCTGGGTGAAGTGACGAAATTTAGATACCGTAATTTGCAACAAGTTACCCAAAGGAATGAATCTTGTAGCCTGGGTGCCATCCGATTTCCTTAAGTGGAAAATCCAGTCGAGTGACAAGGGCTAAACACTTATTTATCATTGTTACAGACAGCAGCTCTTTTGTTCCAAGTGTGCCCGCAGACTAGATCGCCATGCATCACAATATGGCTTTTTTTAAATCAAAATGCCAATGTTTTAAATGCACATTTACATTCTCAAAAAGTTACGAACTTTGAAGGACAGCCTTGTGTAGGCAAGTGGTGTTACACACAGGCAAATTTCTCGCGTACGAAATTTGCGTATGCACGTGCACCCTTGCGCACGTTCGTTTCTTTTTACACACATCTTCTCAATGACCAGTTTTGTAGTTTGGTTGTAGCCTCTTATGACGGACAGAATAGTTTTGCATGCTGGTAACAGGCATGTACGTTACAGTTGCGGTCATTTACTTCCTATGTTACAATGATTTGTAGTAATTAACCCATGAATATTGTTCTGATTAAGTGGAAAAGCCAGTCGATTTACTCTGTTCATCTGTATGTAGAATCTTGTCACATACCTGGTATCACAGCTGTCAGCCTCAAACATAACGTTACACTACAGAAAGTTTATTAAAAATGGCTATGGACATTTACCCCCGGTACGTACGACACGGAGATACTTCTTTCCGTTTTGAGGCAACCGCATTCAACAAGTTTAAGATTCCGCTGTCTTCTTGTGACTAAGGCCTTGATCCCGGAAATTCTTGGTTCTTGGTGGATATCTCTTGAATCCGAGCCGAACACTCTGTTGCACCACACGACTCCATGATTCTGCATTGCCCAGGTCGTACCTTTGCTACCATAATCTTGGCTACCGTGGCCCTGGGAGAGATCGCCCTGTTTTGTCCCCTGTGTTAGGACTACATGTGTGTTAGCTACAGATAATAATGTATAATTGGCAGACAGAGAGATAGCAGCACTGTCAAATCGACCCTAAAACGTTTTTATTGTCTGTGCCTTGCAGGAGGTTCATCAGAAGCGACCGCTGGACAAGGTACTGGTAGTAAGTGCTTGATACAAATACTTTTTATCGCCTACAGGTAAACTTTTTGTTCACATGTGTGTTTGTGCGTGTGCGTGTGTGTGTGTGTTAATTACCTCCATGAAAATGGAGGTGTTGTTTTTGGCGCGTCTGTGTGTGTGTCTGCGTGTCTGTGTGTGTGTGTGTGTGTGTGTTCGTGTATCCGCACATTTGTGGACTCATGGGAACTGTTAGCTGAAAACCGTTCAGCATGGCGCCAGCTGACACACACTGGTGCTGCCAAAGCTGAAGAGAGAATGGTTAACGCCGCAGTAGAGAGGCGTGCAACACGCAAGACCAAACCTACTTCTAGTAGCGCACCCACCCACTGGTGCCCAACCTGTGGGTGAGGATTCCTGGCCCAGATTGGCCTCATCAGCCATCTCCGGACCCACCAACCGAGACAGTGACACACCGAGGCCATTTACCTGGGCCATTGGTCATCCTCGACCACGAGGGACGAACAAGAAGAAGTCAGCATAACTTCATAACGCCTTTATGAATAGTGATGATATTTGGTATGCTGGTAGGTCTTAGAAAGACAAAGGTCAAGGTCAAATATGGGACTCCTGGTGGATGACCTTGGTACTGCAGCAGAACTTCCGGTTTTTGTATCTTTTGTCCTGGATGTTGTCCTGAATGTTGGGAATTTCATACTTGGTACATGTGTAAGTTAATCAAAAGTTAACATCATGATGCATTTATTATATAAATGTGGAGGTCATTTGCATAATTAAAGAAATTTACATTTACATGTCAAACCCATATTTCATGGAGGTATGAGATCTCGGAACTCTTGTTTGTATGTGTGTTCGTTTGGGTCTATGCAATCGACTTCCTAGCTCAATCTTGTATCTTCCTTAGGTACATGGCTTTGACCGAACCAGTCCTGAATTGTGGACTCCGCCGGAACACAATGAAGCAATGTTTCAGTGTTCTGGAATTGTGCCGAACGGGGAAAAATCTTAATACATCATTTTAATTAGACCCTCAAAACTTTTACTTCTTCTGTCAATACAGGAAGTGCACAATCCAAGACGCAGCCGAAACCAGGAAAATGTTGTAAGTGTTGAATACTAATTCCAACATAACAGTTGCATTTATCCAAGAAAGTAAATCATAGCATGGACACCAGAAAGTGACATTCGTCTGGTGTTCTGTGGAAGTGCTTATGTCTTAATCATAGAAATATACGTTCAGTAGATAAAATGCAGAACATTCTCATTGGCTCTTGTGACATTTCCAGATGCAAGCACCACCAACCTAGCCCTAAACCGCCCGGCGACCCAGTCTAGTACTGACTTTAAAGGAGCTCCCGGACGGGCTGTAGACGGGAACCGTAACGCCATCTATGCCAAAAAGTCTTGTTCTCACACGGCAATGGAGCGGGATCCATGGTGGCGAGTCGACCTGGGCAGCAGTCAGTGTATAGATCGGGTGGTCGTCGTTAAGCGACGGCGCATCGGGGGTCATTGGCTGGAAGGCTTCCAGGTTGTCTTTTCATTTCTGTCTTATGTCTAAGACTTAAAATAGTCATCACATAACAGATGCATAAACACAGCAAAAGATTAAAATGAGCTTGGAAACTTATACAAAATTTGCTTCTAGGTTTACGTTGGCGACAACCCGAACGTGGTGGAAAACCCTACCTGTGGCAAAAAGCAGTCTGTTGCTGGGAAAGACGTCATCACGGTGGACTGTGGCGGCCTGACGGGCCGATATGTGGGGATAGCTCTGCCGGACAAGAAACAGTACCTCATCCTGTGTGAGGTGGAAGTGTATGGAGGTAGGGTTGGCTGGAATTCGTCAGAACCTATGGTGTGGTCGTTCACATTGCGTATCGAATATATCGTATGCGTACCTTACCAAATTTAAGAACATGTGACACTGACCTTTTGTCTTTTACCGAAAAAACACTTAAGGGATTTTATTTATATATACTGTGGTTAAGGATCCCTGTTGGACACAATTTTTGATCATTTACAGAACCGAAATGACTTTCTTTAACGAGAAAAAAGTGTCCCCTATTCGTGATGTGTTTCAGGAACGTCACCAACTGAAGTCAGCAGGCCAATGCTGAAATATGGCCAATGTGGTAAGTGCCTAAATTAATTACAATTAACAGCTTTTCATGTGTATAGTCTAAAGCAAAATGTGTAGCTAGTAGTATCTCAGTACCAAAAAAAATCAATTAATAGCGAAACACGTAACATTAGTTATTGTAAGGAAAACAAGCCCCTTTAAATATGATTTAAATCTTGTTTTTCATTAAACTGTCTCATTTCAGCATGGTTTAATTAGTTTCAGTCAGTTCTTTCAACCATTTCAGAGGAGTAAGATAAAAAAGGCCCTTGGTCTAACATTATGTACAAATGGTGCTCGCATTGGACAGTAAAAGGCAAAACTTTTAATTCATATCATGCACTCATAGTTATTACTGACAGTTTCTTTCTACGTTTCCAGCTGAAGGCACTACCAACCTGGCTCTGAACCGCCCGGCGACCCAGTCTAGTACTGACTTTAAAGGAGCTCCCGGACGGGCTGTAGACGGGAACCGCAACGCCATCTATGCCAAAAAGTCTTGTTCTCACACGGCAATGGAGCGGGATCCATGGTGGCGAGTCGACCTGGGCAGCAGTCAGTGTATAGATCGGGTGGTCGTCGTTAAGCGACAGCGCATCGGCGGTCATTGGCTGGAAGGCTTCCAGGTTCTCTTTTTATTACCTCGTTGTGACAACCAATCATTCGACCATCCAAAAAGAAACAAAAAAGGAACTGTCAAAACTAAAACAAATGCATGCCTATCAAATTAACAAATTGCACTATACATTTACACGTAAAAATGAGCTGCACAATTTCCCTATTATTCAGGTATTTCTAAATTTACTCTACTAGCTACATGTACATGTTTATACTGTACGAAAAAAAACGCTCATGTAACAAAAGTCATGTATAACGAATTTCTTCTAGGTTTACGTTGGCGACAACCCGAACGTGGTGGAAAACCCTACCTGTGGCGGAAAGCAGTCTGTTGCTGGGAAAGACGTCATCACGGTGAACTGTGGCGGACTGACGGGCCGATATGTGGGGATAGCTCTGCCCGACAAGAAACAGTACCTCATCCTGTGTGAGGTGGAAGTGTATGGAGGTACGATTATGTGGATTTCAAAATAGAATGGTGTATCCTACGTCACCAGCATTTCTGTAATTTTGATCCTGTGGTATTCTTTTAATCTTGTTTACAAACCGCCTACGAAAGAGACAAATGATTTTGTTCAATATATCCTATAAATAATTTTTTTATGAATCCGAAGAAAGAATTAGAAATCAAATATGGCAAGAAGGAATCGGGGCTTATAACAGACCTTGCAATGCTTCTAACATGTCCTAAAATTAACAGTAATCTTGTATTTTTAACTTTCCAGGTGTGACAATGAAAACACAAAAGGCCGGACTGATAGGTAAGCCGTAATTATACTTGATGTTTACGTAATTCAGATTGTTATAAAAATGAAGCTTTGCAATTTCTTGAAAACAGGATCAGGGCAGATACACTTAATCGGCCAAATTTAGCTTGCTATGTTTCTATTTTGTCCTAAAACAACAGTAACCCTTTATTTTTAATTTTGTAC